GACTCATACCCTCTGGGTGGCATGATTCAGCATCTCCTGCCAGGCTGAGTCGAACTGCCGCTTGTCATCCTCCAGCAGCCGCTGTTCAGCCAGGGAGATGGTTTCCTTGGCGGCTCGGAGCACCTCTGTGGCCCTCTGGAAGTCCTGCGTGGCTTTCTGAGCTTCTAGCTGGGCCTGTGCAAGAAAGAACCCTCATGAGGCCTCAGGAAACGGCAGGGGCTCCCTCTGGCCCGTCACACCCTCCAAAAGATGAGCTTCCTGAGGGTCTGGGGCTGCCCTGTCCATCTCTGCCTTCCCACGTGGGGACAAGCCGGGCACCTGCAGGGCCTCGCAAATGCTGGATAAGGGGACAGGCAGCAGGTAGAGGAGCAGACGATTTCCAGAGTCCAGGACCCAAGAGGTCAGATACGGATGCCGGCTCAGTCAGCTGGAGATGGCAAACCAGCCCCTCACAAGCCAGGTGAGGCCGGCTGTGGCCTTTCATAGAGCAGCTCTCATTTGCTAAGGATGCCACGGCGGACACAGCAGTTCCCAGCACCATCCCTGCCCAGATCCGTGGCTCCCTGCCCACAGGTCAGAGCCAGAGGGGCCCAGGGGATTGCAGTCCAACGGCCTCCTTCATTCTACAGGTGGTAACTGTGGCTCTGAGAGACCCGGCCAGGCCACCCGACGCGGGCGAGCAGCAGAGCTGTGACCCCAGTTACTCAAAGTCCCACTAAGTGCTGTCACTCTGCCAGACAGGCTCTCGCCCAATTCGCACTCACCAACAGCGACGGGCGGAGGGAGGGACGGACACAAATCGTAGCGGGCTGTATGTTAGAGCACCGCCAGCCGCACGCGCCTGTTGAGCACCTCAAAGGTCCTTAATCCACGTTGAGTGCAAAGCACCCCAGACTTTATTTTAAAGGTATTTTTCTGTACTAGTTTTTTTAAGTTTATTTGAGAGAGAGAGAGAGAGAGAGAGAGAGAAAGAGAGAGAGAGAGAGAGCGAGCAGGGGAGGGGCAGAAAGAGAGGGAGAGAGGACCCCAAGCAGGCTCTGCACTGTCAGCACAGAGCCTGACACAAGGGCTTGAACCCACGAACCGTGAGATCATGACCTGAGCTGAGACCAACCAAGAGTCAGACGCTTAACCAACTGAGCCACCCAGGCGCCCCTAAAGCGCCCCAAATTTTAAAGACTTAGTACAAAAAAAGAATTGTTAACCATCTCTGTATTCAGAATGACTACATGATGAAATGATGGTATTTCGGATATCGTTGGTTGAATAGGCTATCTTAATTTCACCTGTGTCTTTCGACTTTTTTTTTTTAATGAAACTACCGGATAATTTAAAATTACATTGTTGGCTCACTTTCTATTTCTTTTGGACAGTAAACACTTCTCCCCCAAGAGTGGCCCATGAGATTGCATCAGGAACCAGCAACAAAACCCTCCGGCCACCACTCTGAATTTCCCAGCAGAGCACAAGCACACGCTGGCCCGTTGCAGCCGCCTACCCACCACCCTTGGTTAACCAGATCAGTTCCACAAACCCCGGGGACATCCACGGGGTAGCCCCTGGGGCTCAGGAGCAAGAGGAACAACCATCCCCATCCATCCCCAGGGTGAGTCTCACATGACTTAGAGGAAGTCTTCAGGAACCACAGGGCACAGACGGTTAAGGGGAACAAAACAGACCTGGAACACAGTAGCCCCCAAGGCAAGGAACAGCTCTGTGACCCTGTGGGTGCGGCTCTCCACCCTTCAGCAAACGGTGGACTCGTGCTGTGCACCACACCCAGCCTGACCTTCCAGGATGACAATCTGGTCGGGGAACAGAAACAGGCACGGAGCGGACATCCAGAAACCGTCCTCAAGAGCTGTGCACGAAGACTGCTACTGGAGGGAGATACAGACAGTACCAGGGTGTGAAGAGGAAACTGGTTCCAGGAGAGGGAATCGGGGCTCCTTCCGAAAAGAGAATGAGCAGGAACGGAGGACCGGAGGACAAGATGACCTGAAAAATTCAGCCTTGGTGGGGGGGCCAGGAGGAAGGGGCCTCATGAGACACGGTATCTGCAGGAGACCTTGACAAAGAGGAGGATCAAAATTTCAAAATGGAAGGGCACACGTATCTCGAGGAGCCCTGGGTGACGTATAGAATTGCTGAATCACTATATCATACTCCTGAAACTAATATAGCCCTGTATGTTAACTCCGCTAGAATTAAAATTAAAATACGTACATTGCTATCAAAAACGACACAGGAGCTCCTGGGTGGCTCAGTCGGTTGAGCGTCTGACTCTTGATTTCACTCAGATCATGATCTCCGGGGTCGGTGGGGTAGAGCCCCGTGTTGGGCTACTTGGGCTTCTCTCTCTCTGTCTCTCCCTGCCCCTCCCCTCCACCACTCACATGCGCTGTCTCAAAATACGTAAGTAAACTTAAAAAAAAAAAAGAAAAAGTTTCAAAAAACATGAAGAGCATGGGACTGAGCGAACGCCCAGCTAATGCTTCAACCAGTAGCCCAGGGGCCTGCCTGCTGTGACCACTGCGTGGCCCCAGGCCACATGCCCACACAGGCGTGCCTCAGCCACACATGGGGACAAGGGGCCTGCGTCCTACAGAACTGACCAACTGAGCACGCGTGGATGCTCTCGGCACATGACACGTCACTCCAGACCCCAGGCCTCTAGACCAGTCCATGGAAGTCCCATGAGAGGACAGCCCCAGTGGCTTTCCCACCCCCTTCTGCCTAGGTGCACTGAGGGACAAGCGGGGAGGCACTGGGACCTGGCACTTCAAAGCTACCCCCAACCTGCCCCACAGACCACCTATGGGCTTTGAACCACACCAAGAGACCATCAATCCCACAGGATTCTAACAGTTCCCTAGGTGGGATTTGTACTTGTGTTTGTTTTTTTCAAGGAAATGTTAGTATTTCTCTTTTTTTAATTTTTTTTTAAATGTTTATTTATTTTTGAGACAGAGAGAGACAGAGCATGAACAGGGGAGGGTCAGAGAGAGAGGGAGTCACAGAATCCGAAACAGGCTCCAGACTCTGAGCTGTCAGCACAGAGCCCGATGCGGGGCTCGAACTCACGGACCGTGAGATCATAACCTGAGCCGAAGTCGGACGCTTAACCGACTGAGCCACCCAGGTGCCCCGGAAATGTTAGTATTTCAATTCAGCACCATTTAAGGGTAAACTCTCTTCCCTGCCC